CTGTATGTATTCCTATGTAAAATGTATTTAAAAAATATATATATATATATCTGATACATAACCATATTTTATCTTTTGTAGAGTGACAGGAATGTTAAAATTGCTGTACAGAATACAATTCAATTCATTAATTTTAATTCATTAAAATTTATCTGGTTAAACTTTTAAAAAATGTTTAATTCTTGACAAAATTTGTTTTTTATAAAAAATTATTGACTAGGCAAAAAACATGCTCTTGCGTTACCTAGGCAAAATGTTACCCTAGGCAAAATGTTACTAGGCAAACTTGAACTAGGCAAAAAGTTACCTAGGCCAAATGTTACCTAGGCAAAAGTGAACTAGGCAAAATGTGACTAGGCAAAATGTGACTAGGCAAATTGTGACTAGGCAAAATGTAGCTGAGCCAACTAGGTTGCATGGTTGGAGAAGACAGGGGGCTAGGTTGCAAGGTTGGAGAAGGAAGTTTACATTACATACATTTGTAGAATATTGAAATCGTTTAGAATATTTCTAACCCCTAACATGACAATTATCTGTGCATTTTTAAATTTCCCCGCCCTAAAATATTTTTTAACAGAATGTCTTGATGTACGTTTTAAAATATAACCCTTCATGCCAAATTCAAATATAAAAATTAATATCAAAACTATTCGTGATGCAGTTTTCAAATCATAAATAACTTTGTAATAAATTTAGATACAGCATAACGACACATAAGAAACAGCAGATCAGTTCGAACCACCGTAACAGTAATCCAAAAACGTGCATTTTTATTTGTAATCCCACTCTTCCGGGATGGGATCGTTAAATCCAAATAAAGACACATTTAAAATCCTAAATCTCTTAAAATATAAATCCCGATGTGTCTTAATAAGATTAAACTAACCTCCACCATTCCTCTCCTCGTGCTCCTGCTTCTCCGTCCTACAAGCAATTATTACAGTGGTCGACCATTATATTAGTACAGTGAAGACGACTATTTAATTATTATTTTTTTACAAGGTTTTTTCAAGATACAAAGGAATTGAGTCTTTGCCACAAACTCTGATTTTCTAGTCTCTTTATCTTTGGAACCCAATGTCGTAAACCTTTGATATTTCAAACTTATATTATTTGGTTTAACAGAAGTCATAGTTTGAAATATCAAAGATATACGACATTGGAATCCAAAGATCTAGGAATTTGAATATCAGAGTTTGTGTCAAATACTCAATTCCTTTACAAGCAAATCAAAAATTGAATTGGTTGTCCCTTTCAGTGTTATGGTTTTCAGATTATATCAGACTGATTTGGTGTCCCAACAGAATTGGATGTATCAATAGACAGTAAATGTGTTCATATAACCAGTATTTTTTTTTAGTTCTTATTAAAATATTTAGAGTGAATAATGTCCTGAAATATAATAATTTGATACGAAAGTTCTGCAAAGGGAGTGACCGACAATGTATGGTAGTTGAACTGAGAATGTAGTATTGTGGAGAAATTTTTAGGAATCATTGGAGACATATAAAACGTTTTAATGATGTATAATTACTGCAGAGGTCGAGCGCAAAGTCGACGTTCAAAGTCATCCATTTGGGTGGTTACGTTTGAGAATCGATTATTTAAAAAAGTTAAAATTATTAAATAACAACGAAAAAAAATTTAACAAAAATTCTACAGTAAACTAATTTGTTGTTTAGGAACATGTCGAAAAAAGAAAAAAAATTCTTATCACCTAAAACAAGTAATTATTTTAGTTATTGGTTTTTTTTAATGTCTCATTGTTCACCATTTTTTGGAATTTTTATTGAAAATACGACATACGAAGAATTTTGAGAAATCTGCGAACAAATTTGTAAAGAATAACAAATTCAGTATACTGATGAAAAAGAAATAATTGATTCTGCATTTATTTATTGACAAATTTCTATTGAGTTTACTGTAAATGTTTGATACATTTTTCGTCGTCCTTATTTGATAGTTTAAAAAAAAATCGATTCTCAAAACGTAACCACACAAATGAATGCTTTTAAACGTCGACTTTGCGCTCAAACTCAGTATTTATACATCATTAAACGTTTTTATGTCTTAAATGAATCTAAAGTTTCTCCACAATACTACATTCTCAGTTCAACATTGCCGGTCACTCCCTTAAAAGAGAAAATAAGACAGAATTGATTAGATAGGTGGAGAGAGAATGCGAGACCTGTGACAATTAAGAGGTAGTACAGAGTACAGGGTGTCATTTGATTGCAATCAAAATCGTCTTTAAAATATCATGTTTAGGGGGACACCATGTATAATTATTTTAACCGTTTTAAAAATACATCAGAGTGTCCTACAGTGCGCTAAAATAAAACAAAACCAAACATATTTTAGATTTGCACCCGGTTTCCCGTTTCAACATATACCTGGCAGAACAGGAGTCAGGGAAGAGTATCCGAGCAGATTGTCTAACTCCCATAGGATAATCAACCGTATCCTCCTCTCCTCCCAGCACTGCTTGAACTGCTACCCGGAGAAATCCTTTCACATCTCCTTTCTCGTTCACAACAGCAATCCTAAATGTAAATAAGTTGCAATTTAGGTTTTTTAGCTTTGGTACTTTCTACGTCCTTCAGACACTCGGTTAATTATTCCACAGCAATTATAACAAACCCCTTTTGATGAGAACTAATTACACGTTTTTTTACTCATGGGAGATGCTTTATTTTTTTTTATGAAAAATGGTTGAAAGAAAAATATTTTTGAGGAAAAAAAAGCAGGGAAAATGGCTGTTGAATAAATAAAAATGATTATAGGGGAAATTTAAATTTGAAAACTGGGAGCAGAAAAAGGTTAGAAAAATAATTCTGGTTCAAATGGATGTGAGGAAGAAAAGAGATTCTTATTTCTCTTAGAGCTTCAAGCTTAAAGTTAACCTGTGAATGAGTGGAACTGGATGCATCAGATTGGAGAGATAAACAACTGCTCTTCCAACCCGTCGGAACCAAGGGAACCTAGAGATACAATATTCTATATTCAGATATTCAACCCGTCAGATCCACGGGAAACTAGAGATACAATATTCTATATTCAGATATTTAACACAGTGGAACCAAAAAAATAGAATTAATCTACTCCGTCCTGGGATACATGAGAGTAGGATGGAACAAACCTATCATAGAACGGATCTGGTCCTTCCTGTTTATCCTGGGATACATGCGATAAGGACGGATCTAACCTGTCATAGAATGGATCTAGTCCGGCCTGTTTATCCTGGGATGCATGAGAGTAGGACGGAGCTAACTTGTCATAGATCGAATCTAGTCCGTCTTGTTTATCCTGGGATACATAAGAGTAGGACGGAGCTAACCTGTCATAGATCGAATCTAGTCCGTCTTGTTTATCCTGGGATACATGAGAGTAGGACGGAACTAACTTATCATAGAACGGATATGGGCCGTCTTGTTTATCCTGGGAAACATGAGAGTAGGACAGAACTAACCTATCATAGAACGGATATGGTCCGTCTTGTTTATCCTGGGAAACATGAGAACGGAACTAACTTATCATAGAACGGATATGGGCCGTCTTGTTTATCCTGGGAAACATGAGAGTAGGACAGAACTAACCTATCATAGAACGGATATGGTCCGTCTTGTTTATCCTGGGAAACATGAGAGTAGGACAGAACTAACCTGTCATAGAATGGATCTAGTCCGTCCTGTTTATCCTGGGATACATGAGGGTAGGAAATAACTATATATCATAGAACAAATCTAGTCCGTCCTGTTTATCCTGGTATTTATGAGGGTAGGACGGAGCTAACCTGTCATAGAATGGATCTAGTCCGGCCTGTTTATCCTGGGATACATGAGAGTAGGACGAAGCTAACCTGTCATAGATCGAATCTAGTACGTCTTATTTATCCTGGGATACATGAGAGTAGGACGGAACTAACTTATCATAGAACGGATCTAGTCCGGCCTGTTTACCCTGGGATGCATGAGAGTAGGGCGGAGAAAACCTGTCATAGAACGGATCTAGTCCGGCCTGTTTACCCTGGGATACATGAGAGTAGGAGGGAGCAAACCTGTCATAGAACAGATCTAGTCCGTCTTGTTTATCCTGGGATACATGAGAGTAGGACGGAGCTGACCTGTCATAGAACGGATCTAGTCCGGCCTGTTTATCCTGGTATTTATGAGGGTAGGACGGAGCTAACCTGTCATAGAACGGATCTAGTCCGGCCTGTTTACCCTGGGATGCATCAGAGTAGGACGGAACTAACCTGTCATAGAATGGATCTAGTCCCGCCTGTTTATCCTGGGAAACATCTGGAGAGGACGGAGACATCTCGGCTTCGTTCTGATACATCTCCCGCATCAGTTCTAACCTCTGCCTAGAGAGAGAAAAACTGTCATCTTGATTTTTTAAAATCTTACTATTTAGATGTAGACATAACTAGTCCCCACCTATCCACCACTAATAGTTAGAGGAGCGTAAACGTAATTTCAAGTGAGTGGCATGTCTGACTCACAACGGAAACCTTTAATAAACCTTTGTCCAAGGCATGGATGAATGAGATATCCTAGTTTTTCTAGTTGAAAATAGATAATTTTCAATTATGCCTATTAAATAAGACTTGCGGATTTATTCAGCAGAGACAAGGAATTTAACAATTTTTCTAGATAGAGAAACGACGATATCTTTCTCTTGTTAATCAGGGCCTACCAATCAATAAATCAAGTTTCTTTTACAAAGAAGTTCTTTGAAAATTGATTCTGCATTTAGACATTTAATGAAATATATTAAAAACTTTTTTTGATAGAGATTTAAAGATTTTTTGGCTTCAAAACCGAATAAGAAATAAGACGACATTTAAACACGTAAAGCCTGGTATCGTCCTTGTATAGCATACATGAAAACTTGGGACCCAACATATAGCATCAAAATAAAACTTCCTCACACTTGAAGCCTAAAAATAAGCAAGGCAAAAAATCTGCCAAAAAATTGCTGAACATCTAAAAGCATGAATAGTTTTTATGGGACATATTTACAAACTGCAACAATTGTAATAAACTAGAATATAATATGTACAAGCTTAACTGAACATGTAATACAGGATATAACCACTTTCAGTTAAGCAGGCTCGTATAGCTAGGATTTTTAAAGGGTTCTTATTCACATTCTTTTAAACTATCAGGGCCTAAGTACAAAACCTTCTTATAATAAATAGTTTTATTTTCTGTTTTCCAGCTCTAGGTTTACACAAACACTCATGATCGGACCTACACAGAACCCTTCTTATTAATTTTTTTTTACTTTTTACAAAGTATCTTTTGCCGCATAAATCTAAAGTTTTCTATGGCCTAGGGACCAGACAGCCAGATAATGAGCTCTCCGGGTTTCCTGGCACATGTGTCTTAATGAACTATTTATTTAATTGAAAATCAAATTTTGAAACTTGACTTGCCAGAAAAAAAATGAAAAATATTATTAAAATTAAAAACATAAGAAATCAAGTTAAAGTTTTGTTTGATTCCTAGAGATTATTTTAATCAGAAATTAATTTTTTTTCAAGATAAATATTAATATTATTTTTTTTAGAATTAATAAAACAAAATAAATTCCAACTCTGATATGAAATAAATGAAAAGAAAGGGGGGGGGGAGGATACTGAAGTTACCTCTTAGCTCTGATATGAAATAAAGCGTTTTAAAAATGATTTAATTTAGAATTAATAAAAATAATATAAATATTTATGAAAAAAATATTTAATTTTAACATTAAAACAGTTGGAAAGGGACTTTGGTACTCCCAACCCCCTTCAACTCTGTAATATTTTCTAAGGCATATCTCCTCTTATTGAAAAGCGATTGGGAAGAAGAAACATGTTCTAAATTTCTAAAATATTGCCAAATAAACTTGCTCTTCTCATAATTGTACATAAAATCTAATCAAGAGGAGGCAAGAGCTCACAAAGTTTTACCAGTAATGTCGCCTAAATTTGACCTTTTTCTTTTGCCTAGCTTATAGTTCGGTGTGCCTTAACTGTACTTATCTCTTTTACCGTCATTCACCTTTATTTAGAGTTAAAATGTTCCATAAAAGGTGGTTTTAGTATGCAGTGTGCACATATATTTCTAAAAGAGGATATTAGTATTTAGTGCCATGCCGCGGTGTGTTGCAGAAACATTATTTGGTCTACGGGAGGGAACCTTCGGACACCATGAGCCTCCGCTATGCAGACAGGAGCCTCCCAGATTCACTATGCAGATCGAGCCTCTGCTATGCAGAACGGGCCTCCGCTATGCAGTTAACGAGCCTCCACAATAGGGTACAGCTTTTTTTAAATCTTGCTTTTTATGTGTAATGAAAAATTTTAACAATTTTTTGTTTTGTTTTGTTGTTTGTGAATTTTGCTAAAAATAAGAGTTATTTATTGATTGTCATGATTAGAAACATATATGGAACTCACAAAGTGATTTATAAGATTTATATTAAAGCTTTAAACATTTCCTATTCTTATGCAGAAAGGAAGATATTTGGAGAAATACTGCTGAAGTAAACTTATAGTTTGTTTTTTGTAAACTTTGATTTAAACACTAGCCTTTTTGTAAAAAAGTTAACATTTAAATAAATTTTACAAATTTTCTAGATTTTATTTGAACTACAAAAAAAGGTATCACTTAAACCAAAGAATATATACAAGATAAAATTCAATTCAATTCGAATTTTTTCTCTCTAAATATTTTTCTTTTTGTGTAAAAAATGTTTAAAGTCTTAAATACCACTTTATTAGTCATAATGAAAGGCACTATTTATGATAATTGATAAATACTTCTCATCTTTTAGAAACCTTTCATGCCACTATGTCGAAAAATTTGTCAAATGTTTTTATTTTATGGAGAATTCATTAAAAGGCCCCTGTTAAGCTTAAATGATTTGAGTTGAAGGGGGAGGGTGCCCCCCTCCCCTCTGCCTTAAATGAAGAAGTTGCATTAAAAAATTATTTTTATCAGCAGATTCCAGAAAAAGATTGAGAAAGTAAGAGTGGACCTGAGTCTGCAAAAAATATACATTTACGACTTTTTGCAGGGATGTCACAAAAAATTTCTTTTCTTTCTTTTTCAAAATTAGCCGTAAAATTGATGATATACGAAAAGAACAAAAGAATTGAGACTGTGAAAATACAGAGATTGCAAATATTGAGATTGCTGCTATCATCTGATGATTTATACAATTTTGTAAAAATATTTTTTTTAAATGTTAAACTGTGATTTAACGACATTGTTAGGAAAACCTATGATTAGTACTTTCCGATCTTTGAAGATATAATCTTAATGTTTCTTTACTATACAACTCATTACAACTTACAAGTAATTAATTCCAAGTCGCGAGACGAGCATTTTGTTTAGACCGAACGAACTAGCAGAGAATTTAATGAATTTGAACTGCCTACAGTCGGTTCTAATTTGAATCACTGATTCATAATCTTCAACATTAAATCGATGGTTCAAATTTGAATCAACAGTAGGTAGTTCAGCGACACAGCTCAAATTCATTGAATTCGGTCCCAGGATACTCAAACGAACGATAGACGAACGATCAAGATCTAGGAATTTGTATTTGGTTAAAACTATTTATCAAAACTTTTAAAATAAATATTGAAGGTTTAGTTAACAACTCACTAGGATGCTTACCAAAGATTTACAATTTTAAGTAGACCTCGTTTTTACCTACTATTTAGTGGCTACATACTTGCGTGAAATTACCATTAAATGCGAATTTCGCGTATTTGCAACACTAAGCAGTAAAAAAGCATGTTATGTGCTACGCAAAGGATTTGACATGCAGACAGAGGTACGCACATGTTTGGGGATAGAGAAACCAACCTCGGAGGGGGGTTGGAACACCTGGGGGGGAGGGTTAGCTCCAGGAGCAAGGTTTCCTCCCTACCCGGAGAATCCAGGGCTTCCCCGCCCCCGTTATAGATTTGCCGCATCAATTCCAAGCGTTGTCTACAGCATGACTCAATCAAATAATACATCGAGATAAAAAAAGATTTTTTTAAATGAAAAAAAAGAAAAATAAATAATAACTTTTTGATTGCAAAATTAGAAGAAATTAAAGAAGATGCAATTAACCAAAATAAAGTTTTTTTTTTAATTCCATTTTAAGGTTCTGCAATCCAGTTTTTTATTCTGTATGTTCCTTCAAACCAAATTCTGACTTGCTTTATTTGGTTGGGTACACATAGATTCAGGCTCCTTATAAACAGTCTCATCAATTTTTAAGACAGGGCTGACTTTGAAGTGTCGCAACGCCCTAAGCTTAGATTTTACCGCTCTAACTCACTTATGCTTTTCTGTAGCCCTTTACATGTACATTTTAACACTGTAAAGCACTTCTTGTTAGATTTGGTTTTTTAGAAGTAATTGGCAAAATTCTCAACGATTTTTGCTTGAGAGCTTGAGACCATTAAATCGCAGTGGGTAGAGAAGACGTAAATTGAAAATAATTATTTCATACAAATTTTATCACAATTTTTTGCAATTCTTTAAAATCCAAAAAAATTTCTCGAGACCCTCGAAATATTTGTTTCTGAATCACAAGTTAGCTTTTACCTCAGTTTTTCCAGACTCCAGAAATGTGAAGCATTATTCTTATTATCCTGAACCTCAACCACCACAACAGTTCTAGGTATCCTCTCCTCCTCCTCATCTGGGTCCCTAGATATACACACAACTTAGATTTAGAAATATAATCTGGGTCCCTAGATATACACACAACTTAGATTTAGAATTGTATCCAGGTCTCTTGATAAACACAAAACTTAGATTTAGAATCTTATCCAAGGTCCCTAAATATACACAACTTAGATCCAGATTCTTTTCCGGGTCCTTAGATATATACACAACTCAGATCTAGAATCCTTTTCGGGTCCCCGGAGATATACATACAACTTAGATTTAGAATCTTGTCCGGGGATCTAGATATACACACAACTTAGTTTTAAAATCTTATCCGGGTTCCTGGATATTCACAAAACATAGATTATAAACCTGATCCGGAGCCCTAGATCTACCCAAAACATAGATTAAAAATTTCATCCAGGTCCCATGGATAATGGACATACACAAATCTTAAATATATACATATATTGTAGAAGGAAGTAGGTTCGGGGTGATAAGACTAAACTGAAAACTCACCTAATAGGAAGTAGGTCTGGTGGGAAGGTAGAGAAAAGTGTATTGGTGAGAAGACTAAACTGACCTAATAGGAAGTAGGTCTGGTGGGAAGGTAGAGTAAAGTGTATTGGTGAGAAGCCTAAACTAACCTAATAGGAAGTAGGTCTGGTGGGAAGGTAGAGTAAAGTGTATTGGTGAGAAGACTAAACTAACCTAATAGGAAGTAGGTCTGGTGGGAAGGCAGAGTAAAGTGTATTGGTGAGAAGACTAAACTGAAAGCTAACTCTTTTCTTCAACTCAACAGATATAGCGTTGGCCTCCTACAAAATACAAACTTGAAACATTTCAGGATATTATTTCAGGATATTATTTCAGGATATTATTTCAGGATATTATTGCAAAATCTTTTAAGTAGATTAAGAAAGTTTTCAACAAAGAAATCTAGTCTTTGCCACAAACTCAAACTTGTGAATCCATATATCCTTGCAACCTGATGTTTTAAACATTTTAAATTTCAAATTTAGACGATTTGATCAAACAGAATTTGTAACTGGAAATATCATAGGTCTACTATACATCGGGTTGCAAAGATATAGGAATTTAAAAATCTTAACTCGGAGCAAAGACTAAATTTCTTTAGAGCTATTTTGACCATGGATTTTAATCTTTAATCTTTCAACCCAATATCGTAGATCTTAGATAAAATAGTCTATAGGTCTACAACATCAGGTTGCAAAGATAAATGAAATGAAAAATCATGTAGTTGATGCAAATTCTCTAATAATATTTTATCATTTTTCAAACAAAAATTGCGTTTACTGTGGCGGAATCATTTGATGATCAATTATTGTTTTAATTTGATTTAAACAATTTTCCGTTTTGTCCCATTTGAAAAAAGCAAGAGTTGATGTTTCTTTTTACTCTTTATTTGTAGCGTTTTATAAGAAAATCTCTCTGATTTTCAAACCCTAAAAATGTAGCAGAATAAAATACAACATCTTTCTTATATGTATATACGCAATAGTCTTTCAACACACTCTGACTTTCTAATGCTTGATTTGTCGTAGACCTTAGATATTTTAAATTAAGAACTCTGTTAGATGAAGTAATCTAAGCTTGAAATATCAAAGGTTTACACCATCAGGTTGCTAAAATACAGGGATTAGAAAATTTTAGTTTGCGGCAAAAACTCAATGAAAGAGAGATGACGTTACTGTAGGAAATCTCAATTCATGAAATAGCAAACTACAATGTTAAACTGCCAACCTGTATCACGCTTGAAAGGAACTGTACACTCTCCACAAATATTAATATTCTTATCCCTATGGCTTTGCAACCTAATATGTCGTAAACCTTATTACAATCTATGAATTCTGTTATATCAAATAGTCTTATTTCAAATATATAGGAATAAGAAAATAAGTTTGTGGTGAGAGTTCAGTTCCTTCGGAGTTAGAAATATAAAAAATATATTAAAAAATACCTTTAGAAAAACTGCATTACCCCATAAATCATCTCTAAGTGATGTAAACTGATGTATTCTCCATTTACTGCACCAGATATATATTNGTTCATAAATTTACCAGATATATATTATTTATTATTAAAGTGAAAAGAATTTTTAGTTTCTGTTTCTATTTTGGTTTCTCAACATCTAAAAACTGTTTTAAATCGTAAAAAATATTCTTTTATTTGAGCTATAAAAGAAAAAAATAGAAAGAAAAACAAATTAGCCAAAAACTGAAAACTGACGAAAGAGGGAATACGGTGCGCTGTGAATAAGAATGTGTATATGTTCATTGTAAATACATAAATATATCACGTACCTCTGCCTTTTTAGTAAAAGTAAATTAAACATATATGAAGCATAAAGTCTGACCGTGTCAACCTGTTGATTGTCTGCTTTATTAATCCAATGTCCGTGCAGTACAAACTGGGACCGGAAAGGTAGACCCGGCTCGGAAATTCAAATGTACTACGGCTGCCCGTGATATATATATATCCCTGAATGCCCAGCTCGCCAGTTCATATTCTCTCTCTGTCCAACTACACTCCGCTTCAAATATTGGGTTCACTAAATCAATGAATCAACTTAGTTTGGGAGAGTTTTTCATACCTTTACAGTGAGCACCAGAGACCTCTGGAATAGGAAGACGACATTAAAGTAAGAAATAAGTATATTTGATGCTGTTACAAAGCATATAGTTTTACTTGTTACTTATTAAATCACTTATTGAGTAAAATGGTTGTTCTGTTTAGACTGCACTATTTATGTGTCTCATGTTCATTGACAAACTTTGAGTCTAAAATTCATCTTCATATTCAAGAGTTTTCTGGCTCTCACTGTAGGTTCAAAATAGTACTTACCATACAGGTCTTCTTCTTGGTTAAATTCATCAGGGGTCATAGAGCTGATCATTGACATCGTCATACTTTGCTCCATAACCTAAGTATATATAATAACCCAGGCATAAATAATATTTTGCTCCATAACGGACAAATGTAATACTTTGCTCCATAAACTACACACATATATTACTTTGCTCCATCCCCTAGACATATATGATACTTAGCTCCATAACCTAGACATATATAAAACTTTGCTCCATAATCTAGACATATATAATACTTTGCTCCATAACCTAGACATATATAATACTTTGCTCCATCCCCTAGACAAATATAATACTTTGCTCCATAACCTGGAAAAATGTAATACTTTGCTCCATAACCTAGACATATATAATACTTTTCTCCATCCCCTAGACAAATATAATACTTTGCTCCATAACCTAGACATAAATAATGCTTTGCTCCATCTCCTAGACAAATATAATACCTTTCTCCATAACCTAGACATATATCATACTTTGCTCCATAACCTAGACATATATAATACTTTGCTCCATAACCTAGACATAAATGATGCTTTGCTCCATCTCCTAGACAAATATAATACCTTGCTCCATAACCTAGACATATACAATACTTTTCTCCATAATCTAGACATAAATAATGCTTTGCTCCATCTCCTAGACAAATATAATACCTTGCTCCATAACCTAGACATATACAATACTTTGCTCCATAACCTAGACATAAATAATGCTTTGCTTCATCTCCTAGACAAATATAATACCTTGCTCCATAACCTAGACATATATAATGCTTTGCTCCACCCCCTAGACAAATACAATACTTTGCTCCATATCCTAGACAAATATAATACTTTATTCTTTTCCCTAGATAAATATAATATTTGCTGCATACTCAAGACAAATATAACACTTCATAACCTAGACAAATACAATTTGCTCCATCGTCTCGAAAGAGCAAATTACCTGTTTTTGCAAACTTTCAATCTGATCTTCATACTTCTTCCGTTCCTGCTGAAAAGCCTGGGTTGCCTCTTCCTTCTCCTTCCTCCACTGTTCCTCCATCTCTCTCATCTTCTGCTCCATCTCCAGCTTGAGATCAACCCCCTCCCTCTCCAGGAGCTCACTATGAGCGAAGTCCCAATCTGCGGGACCATTAGATAGTTTCTCTACTCCCTCTGCCTTTAGAGAATCATCCATTCGCTCCCTGGGCTGCTCAGGGTGGTGAAACCTAAATTAGTTTAAGATTAAAGGGAGCGTTCGCGAAATATCAAAGGGGGTTTAGGCTTACGGCGAAAAATAAGCGCTTTTGATCGCTACTTAACTTACTTCTATCTGTTGCGTCAATAAGAATAAAATTATTAAAAACGACTTATACTGAAGAACGTAGCGTCCATACAAATTCAGAAAGTTGCAACATTCAACTCAGATCGTAAAAAAATCAATTTAATTCCAAACAAATCATTCAAATATTACAACCAATAATCATCGATAGTTTTTCGACGCATTCGTATATAGTTGATATTTCATAATATTTTTCATTTTTTAGGATCAGACTATTACTTTTGAAAACATATATTCCTGTTTCGAGGATTTTTGATAATGAAGACGACATTTTTATAATTTCCAGGAATGTTTGAAATATTACTTAAAAAACATAATCAAAAATATTATGAAATATTAACTATATACGAATGCGTCGAAAATGAGTCGTTTTTAATAATTTTTTCCTCAGAGACGCAACAGATAGAAATCCATACAAATTCAGAAAGTTGCAACATTCAACTCGGATCGTAAAAAAAATCAATTTAATTCCAAACAAATCATTCAAATATTACAACCAATAATCATCGATAATTTTTCGACGCATTCGTATATAGTTGATATTTCATAATATTTTTCATTTTTTAGGATCAGACTATTACTCTTGAAAACATTTATTCCTGTTTCGAGGATTTTTGGATAATGAAGACGACATTTTTATAATTTCCAGGAATGTTTGAAATATTACTTAAAAAACATAATCAAAAATATTAACTATATATGAGTTATATTAGTTTAAGCTTAAAGGTAGTATAACCGGAATATATAACGCATCAAATTCACAGTAGTACCCTTAACGAGGAAGATATCCTCGTTTTCTGTCTTAAAAAATGAAGAATTTTCCTTTTTGTCACCATAAAAGAAAAACCATGATTGAAAATCCTGAATTTAAGGTAGAAAAACAAGGATATCTTTAAAAAATAAGTACTTGGTCAAGAATGATTAAACAAAAATATGTACTGCAAAAGTAAATATGTGTAGTGTGTATAAATCATAAAACTATTCTTTAATATTGGCAGTATTCCAATATGATATATATATAAAGCATACAATATTTATAAAAATATCATTTATGTATAGATACATATTTTTACATATATACAACATATACAAATAAACTAGGCGTATAAAGGGGCATTTTTAGATTCAAACCAGTCAAAACTACAAATGGGACAAACTAGAACACTCAATTTGGGCCCACAAGGTTCAGCCGTTTGGAAGTTTATTGAGAATCTCAACAAACAAATATAGTTTAAATAAAAACATATTATGTTACTAAAAGGTACAAATTTATATATAATACACATTACCATTACACATTTCATGTTGCTGTAATGATATATATATATGTGAATGTGTACATATATTTTATTGATGTAAAAAAAGATTAATTTAAAGAAAAATGGGGAAAATGTCAAACTTTCGTTGCTCAGGAATTTTGCAGATAAAGGTTTTCTAAATAAAAACTTTCACACATTTGTGTTTGGCAATTTATTAACTGCAACCAATGTTTTTTGCTTTTGTATACTCCAGGTTTTTATTTAGATATTGTCAAATATTTTTGATAAAAGGAGAAAAAAAAAGAATGGGTCTGGAAACTAAAAACTGATAATATAAATTATGTAGCCTAATGATAATTTCTGTAAGATAATTTGATTACATAAACAATTAACGTTATGAATTATTAATGAGAAAACCGGTTTTCATTATTTAGCTTTCACCTGAACACGTGGTTTTTCCCCAGAATGACTCTGGAACCGGTTTTCAGAGTAATGTCAGCTGTTACCTATAAAGTCATTTTCAGATTAAACCAATATCAAAGAATATTTAAGTCAAGATTGATAAGATCATAAGGATTTTAAAAAGAGGAAGAAAAGTGAACTTATTCATAATGTTTTGAATTACTGCTAGTTTTTAAGCTTGAATTTCAATAATTTAAAGTATTACATATTTTTAACAAATAATTAAGATACAAAGATTCTCATTTTGCTCGTTTTATTAGTTCTTTAAAAAAAACTGCTACATAAAATGTCTTTAAACCTTAAGTTGGAAAAGGTAAAAAGAGAAACCACTCCTAATATTTCGTGGATTAAATTTCTCATTTAGATCAATTTTAATTTTAAGTTTTTAATTCATATTTATTTCCTAATTTACCTTTCGTCCGTTGACATAGCAGAGAGCCTCAGGAGCAGGTTTAAGAGTAACAACTCCGTCTGTGTTCTGGAACACACAGTGCTCGCTCAGGATATGAGATCCAACCAGCTGGATATCCTGGGGGATATTTGCATCAGGAGATCCGATCTTGGTTGTCCCAACCTTAACAAAAATTGGGAAATTTAACTATGAACTCTTCTATAGCTCAAATAGACTATTTGAAATATCAAAAGTTTACACCATAAGGTTGCAAAGATCTAGGAATGACAGTATAAGAGCTTGAAGCGGGCAATGAGTTATAAATGCAAGAACAACAGCTATGTCAGACCAGTGTGTACAGAATGTGAAGTAATACATTTTACAAATTGGTCTCATTTCCTTGCTTTTCTTTAAATTGGATAGTTAAATATTGCAATCCACTGTAATAAAGCTTTTAAAGGGTTTCAACATAAAGAAATTGAGTCTTGGCTACAAACTCTGATTTTATAATCTTTATATCTTTGCAACACATTGTCCTAGTCATTAGATATTTCAAACTATGAATTTTATTACATCAAATAATCTAAGTTTGAAATATCAAAGGTTTACATCATACGGTTGCGTTGCAAAGATAAAGGGATTAGAAAATTTGAGTTTGTGGCAAAGACTCATTTCCTTTTCTTTTTCATAGAATCAAAATTTAAAATTTATTTATAAAGATCGTTCTGCATATTTTGCTGGAATATTATTTTTACCTTTAAATAGTAGAGCAGGCACTCTGAGAGAGATGAGTCCGGGTTGAGGTTTACAAGATGCGGAGTTTTCTTAGGTTGGAAGAATCCAACAGTTTCTCCGTCCTCCTTGATCGCTACTCCCATCTCAGCAAAGACAAGTTCTCTCTGCTGTCGAACCGACTCAGCTCGTCTCAACTTGTTCTCCCATGTTTCAGTGAATTCTTAATAGAAGTAGATCTTCAGTGGTAAAAACTTTTGAATAGATGAGATTAAGACGATTGACTTTAAAGCCGTAAGTGATTTGAAACTTTTGAATACAGTTGTTTTTCTATATATATTCAAAAGTTGTCAATTATGCTTATATACGTAATAACAATCGGAATTCATAGTTAAGAATAATTCTTGTCTTAGTAGCTTTGTTTTTGCCTGACGTTATGTTTTGGAAAAAAAAATCAAGCCATGATTTATTATGATTATTATATACCACTCTTTTATTGGCTAGTATAGAGATGTTAATGATTATAAAAATCTTAACGGTTAATTTTTCACAAAAATGTCGTCTTTGATTCCATGTACTTTCTAAATCTTTTTATTCCTTTCTGGAAGGAATTGTTTCAATTTCTGGAGGTTTCTTGTTGCTACCTACGGATTCAGGTTTCGTGTTTCTCAGAGAAAGAATTATTATACGTATATCATAAATTATATCAATATCCAACATGATCTATAAGATGCTTTGAAAAAAGAACTTTCCAACAAAATTATTCTTTTTAATGAAAATTATCTTAGTTTCGATATAATTAAAATTGTTTTTGTTAACCAAGAGAGGATTCCTACAAGGAGAATTGGATTATGATCCTAAGTGAAGGATTACGATCCTGAGGGAAGGATTATGATCGTAAGGGAAGGAATAAGATCCTCAAGAAAGGATTACGATCCTGAGGGAAGGATTATGATCGTAAGGGAAGGAATACGATCCTCAAGAAAGAATTATGATCCTAATGGAAGGATTATGATCCTAAAAGAAGGATTATAATCCAAAGAGAAGGATTATGATCCTAAGAGAAAGATTATGATCCTAAGTAAAGGATTATGATATGATCCAAGTAATTATAATCCTAAGGAGCAGGATTATGATCCTAAGGAAAGGATTATGATCCTTAAAGAAGGATTATGATCCCTAAAGAAGGGTTATGATCCTAAGGAGCAGAATTATGATCCTAAGGAGCAGGATTATGATCCTAAGGAGCAGGATTATGGTTCTCTATAAAGGAGTTGAATAAATTAAGGTTGAGAGGATCTACAAGAAGAAAAATGATGCTATACGATATGAATAACCATGATTTGATAAATATTATGATACATGATATTGTGAATATAATATAGGGCATAATTATCATATTAAAAAATCATGAAAAAGGATTAAATTCTTTGTACGGGATTATGATAAAATTAGAATCTCATGATCATAAGAAAATATTTAATAATTTCCAAACTTGTATAAAACTAACTAAATACCTGCAACAAGCTTTTCATTCTCTTGAAGTTGGTCCACCGCCTCCTCCGTTATTGTCAGAGGACCTCCGGGGCTCTTAGGATCAGAAGATATCTGCCGTCCTAGCTCCGCTGCAGCTCCTGGTGTAGAGCATAATTAATAATTAATATTTGCAGAGAACTTCGTGGTCAAGAATGGAACAAGGAGTCACAATAAATAAGATAATTAAATAATATCGTCTTTATATGAGATCTTTACTTTGTTTAAAATATTATCAAGCATGGAACAAGGAGTCCCAATAATTAGGATAATTAAATAATAGCGTCTTTATATGAGATCTTTACTTTGTTTAAAATATTATCAAGTTTGCAGGGTAACACACAAATTATGAGAATTTAGATAGAATTTATAAAGAAATTTATTGAGTCATTATAATGGTTCATTATAATGGTTCCCAGCAGCTGTAAGTATACTTCTGTGTAGAACACCAAAGGATTGAGTCTTTGCCACAAACTCAAATCTTCACATCCCTATATCTTTGCAATTTGATGGTGTAAACCTTTGATATTTCAAACTTACATTAACTAATAATTTAGGAATCATAGTTTGAAATATCTAAGGTCTACGACGTCGGATTGCAAAGATATAGAAAACCATACTTTGTGGCAAGAACTCAATTCCTTTAACATAAAGATTGTGTTAATTAAAAAGTTTCAGTTATTTAACAATGTTCGTAGTGTGAATGTTAATTCCCCTATTTATGGGACTCCTTGTAGTCTGTAGGTATAAAGCTAAAAAGTAAATAGCAAGGCAAATGAATGGACAATCTAATATTTATATAAACTAAACTCTGAGTCAGTTTATCTCCATCCTACGTTCATATATTCTAGTTTTTGTGTTTATTGTATAAAATTGTGTTTATGTTTTTATATAAAAGGAGTTGGATCCCTGGGATAGAGAAGATAAACTTTAATGGTTATCTAAACAAGAATTTATGTGAACCTTAGAAACAAGGGGAGAAGGGTCTAGCTCAAGGGTTAAAACAATGTAGAGACACCTGGAACAGGCTGAACCAAATCAATGAGTAAAGAAAGACAATGAAAAATATTGAATATTTAAAGGTTTTAAAGTTTGTGGATTTTTCATTAAAAATGTTCCAGAGGATTTACCCAGACCGGATATCAGGAGAAGTTGAAGGTTTTGTGAATCATGGGATCAAACATCGATCTTAATCTTGGGATCAAACATTGATCTTAATCTTGGGATCAAGCATTGATTTTAATCTTGGGATCAAGCATTGATCTTAATCTTGGGATCAAGCATTGATCTTAATCTTGGGATCAAGCATTTTTCTTAATCTTGGGATCAAACATTGATCTTAATCATGGATCTACGAATTAGAATTTAAAAGTGCCCACGTCAGATATCGAGACATAAAAGTTAAGCCTTAAGATGAGAATCAAATCAGAAGATAATAATAAACATAACAATCAAGAACCGAGAAAACATTCTCTACTCTCTTAGAGAGTGTCCCAATATATATGTACAAGGAAATTAAATGCGAGTGTCCCAATATATGTACAAGGAAATTAAATGCGAGTGTCCCAATATATATGTTCAAGGTAATTAAATGATGATTTTTAAAAATCCGATTCACCGTATATTCTTAAAATAAAATACAGGACGTAGGTATGCCACAATTTGAAAATATCACGAAGTATTTTTAATACTCTTTGTGTCATTTTTCATTATGTTTGTTATTGTTTATATTATAACTTCGTTTTGCCTCTTGATGTTTAAAGTAATCACAATTTTAATTTGCAGTTTAGAAAATGTCGTTTTCTGTAATTTCTAATAAATAAATATTATTTTCGAATTACTTATTTTAGTTTTATATTTGTTAAATAATGTGTGCATTCCGTCAAAAACGTCAAATAAAACAAAATTCATATCATTTCAGCACAGTTTCTAATATTTACTCGCAAAAGTACCAATTTCAACATTTTATACTACTTGGCTTAGTACTTTTTTTAAATGATGCTTCTTTTTCCTTGATCACTAAAAATTAAATATTTTGCTGTATTCCAACAGAGAAAGTGTGACAAAATAAACATGAAAATCTGCAAACCGTCTTTGATCTTGCTAAACGGGTTTGCAAAGATTTCTAAAAAACAGACTGACAACATTTTGAAAATCCCATGATCAGTGAAATATCGTGTATCAGCTTTACATAAATGAAGGATATAGATCAAGGAGGATGAGAAAGTCGATTTCTAATTTCCATATTTATTGGGACACAGTGTTCAGTGTGTATCTTAAACTTTACTTTTATACAAAAAACTAGTTTTTTGTTAACTCAGGAAAACTTAGTTCTAATTGTTACTTGCTACTGATTAATTTTTTTAGATATATACAGTATCAGCTAAAAAACTATGGAATGATTGTTCTTTTCGTTTTTTCTTTTAGTTCAAAGGAATGTCGTTGAGGATTTTCTTATTTGTAAAATACAACCTACCAAGGCACATTTTTAAGAAATTAATGACAAAAATAACATAACATTCATAAAAAGAAATAGATGAAGACGATAATCTTTACATTGTTTTCATGTTATACTCTTGTATTTTTCTACTTTTTCTAAAGCTTTAAAGTTTTCTTGATTTTTAACTATCTCTAACACAAAAGTGTTTCCATCCAAGAGATCAAACAAATTGATGAAGCTGGATAGGATACATCAATCGTAGTGAATGAGTTAGATCATGCAAAAAGATTATTTAGAAACATTAATTTATGTTGATGTAGAAGCAACATTTTATTTTTAAAAATGTAAGATATGATGCCACGTTTTATTATTAACATGATCGAGAATCGTCTTTTACAGAGTAAGATAAGGGTTTTTAATCTACAAACGATATATTTAATCAATGTAGAATTACAGGATCTTAAATAACTAAATATTATATAAGTAAGGCCACAAACACAACAGTTTAATTACTATTTTTGCATTACACAAATGTTGAAGATGACATTTAAAACTGTTTTAAAAATTATCATGTTTATTGAGCTCAAAAAGATTTTCAAGTACAATAGGTGGCAACAGAGAAATGGACAAATTATACACGACGTCACAAGTGTAAAATATAACAAGAAAACGAAATTTTCTCACATTATTTGACATGTTTTCCAAGATTAAATAAAAATGGGTAAAACATAAAATAAAGAACACATAAAATTGAACTTCTATCACTGTAAGATAAGCACTTCATTATAAAATTATCACTATTATTAATAATTTTGTCGGAAACAAAAACTGAATTGAAACTTGTGACGTAAGAATACAGCTGTACTGAGAGTGTACAAATTCTACGTCACCATCTATAGTACTTGAATCTATTTAATTGAGGCTAACTGTTTATTTGTGATGAGTTTAGAAAATGGCGACGAAGAGGGTCGGTTAGAAAATGTCGACAAAGAGTATAATTTGCGGAGATTAGGAAATATGTTTTTCATAAGTATGATGAGATTAGATGAGTAAAGAATTTCAAACAACAGAATATGAGAAAATTTCGAATATTGAGACATAAAAAAGATTAAGTAAAAGAGATATTAGTAAGATGGAAGAAGATGGGACGAAAACAATCATTTGTAAATCATGAATATGATATTAAAAAGTTTAGAAAAGAAGCAAAAAAATATTTGAAAAAGATAAAAGGAATTTTAACAAATTGATTTTTAAAATGGTAAAATTAATTCTATAAAAGGAAAAAAAGATATTTTAAAAGAGAAGAAGTAAAGCTGAATAGGAAAATAAGAAGAAAGAAGACGATCTGGAGTAAAAGAAGAAATAGTTGGTTTAATTTGTGGATATCTCTATATATATGCAAGATGTGTAGTTTTAGCAGCCAGGACATGGAAAGCTAACAAGCTGATCAAACACAGAAAGGATTAAATAACACCAAACCAAATAGATTCTAAAAGCGGAGAACAAAGATTGTTTTTGTTTTATCTTTCTCAATCTTCATCTCTACACCTAACCCAGGGATAAAGCAAGAACATTGCATTAACTTTTCAAAAAAGCAAAAAACGTCATTATAAAATGTTTGTGTGTAAGTCTACAAGGCAGAACGAAGCCAAAGGTTAAGAAAATGCGGGGAAAAGTGTCCATCTGACTTACTTTCCCTGGCATAGATTACTTTTCCCCCAGGACCTAGGAATAGAAACTTTATCATCTTCACCACTTAATATCATGATGTGGAGATTAAAATTGTAAAAAATCGAGAAAAGGATCAAATCAGCTCTAAAGGATCCATTCAGGAGCATGCAAAGGATGTTGATCCCTACCTTCTTCAACCACGATCCCTTCAGCTTTAAGAAGATGTCGGAGACGGAAGATTTCTTCCTTGAGTTCTCTGATAAGTTTGGCGTTACTGTCCTCGTTCACAACTGCTTTGCACACAATCTGCTTGGCTCTGAATAAAAAAAAAATATTTATATGATATAGATTTTTAAAAAAATTATAATTGATGAAAGGAACTGAGTTATTGCAACAAACTCTGATTTTATAATTCTTATTCTTGCAACCCGATGTCGAAACTTTATATTCTTGTTAGATCAAATGGCCTAAGCTGAAAAAATCAAAAGGTTTGCACCATTTAGGTTGCAAAGATAAAAGAATTATCATAAAAACTCAGTTCCTTTATAATATTTTGGTTGAAACATATTTTTGATTTGTATGTAATATTATGTAATATTTAAGTAGTGTTTATGTAATATCTATGTGATATTTAGATAATGTTTATGTAATATCTATGAAATTTTAAGTTATATTAATGATAATGTTCACTGCAGAAAACACGAGGCTTTTACTGTTTTTAGCAGGAAAGGAATTGAGTTTTTGCCACAAATTCAGTTTTTGTAAAACCAATATCTTTGCAGCCTTATGATGTAAACCTTTGATATTTCAAACTTACATTACTTGATCCGATATCATTCATAGTTTGAAATAGTAAAGGTCTACGACATTAGGCTTCAAGAATATGGAAATTAGAAAATCAGAGTGTGTTGCAAAAACTCAATTCCTTTACTAAATTTGCTGGAAATGAGTTTAACTTTGAAATTTAAAAGCTAATAAAAGTTTAGAGTTAAATCTTAAAATGCGAGATCACAGATTTAGATAAAAAGACATAAAAAAGAAACTTAGAGCTTGTCATAAAGGAAGAAATGTAATTTCCATAGAGACTCTATCAGGGAATAAGAAAAAGGGAAGGGAAATGACGCTGGTCTGGCATGAGAAAGCCAGTCGCACTGCTTTGCAGACGAGTTCGTTATTACACACTCACACTCTTTGGGTACAGACACACAACATGACCACAGTCTAGGAAATTGCAGAACAATGTCGTCAATTATAGTTAAGTTTGAATAACGAGTAGTTTATTGTAAACTTTAATCAAATTATATTCTTTACATGCAAATTTGGCTTATAGTGTTGACTTAAATATGTAAATAATATAATTAGATGTATATTAAACTTATTTTTAAATAAACAATTAACAATAAACAAATGTACTCTCCTAGACTGTACAAATACCGAGATTCTTATGTACTGTATATACCTACAGTACACGCCTTTGGTACGGTAACCTTAAACACTCTCTTTTGGTACATACACACATACATGATGTTTCCGCCCCCTTGACTCTATTAAGATAATGCCATAAACGACTCATTAGTCATTACACGGTAAAATGGCCGAGATTTACCCCTAGCTGCACAAAATAATTGCGAATGTAGAGATACAATTCGCAGAAAAAGGGTTTAAAGGGTAATCAGAGACTTCAGTTTAAGTAAGCCTTTGTTTGTTGAGTGGAACGTATGGTTCACAAAGATACTCTATAAATCGTCAAGTGTACAGTCATAACCTGAAAACTCCAAAATAGGAAGACGACTTTATAGCCATACGAAAGTGTATTTGATGTTGTTGTAACGCAAATAGTTTTAGTAGACACTTAATAAATCACAAATCAAGTGAAACAGGTCTGTGTACAATGAATAATTTCTATTTCCCTTGTTCATTGGACTATCTAAAGTCATAATTTGAGCTTAAAAGTCGTCTTCCTATTCCAGAATTTTCTGGTCATCACTGTGGTAGAGTTTCCCTGAACTAATTTTCATTTAAGAAAATTCGTCCTTGATATAAAGAGGTTTAAAGGGTGCGTTTTGAATCAGACATCCTACTCTACAAATGTAGATCACTTGAAATTACGTCTACACTGCAGTCCCTTTAAAAACTGAAACTGTAAAGACGATATTTGAAACTCTTTAAGCATAGACGATCACAAGGTTAAATTAAGTTTCATGTCTTGAATATAGTCTTATGACGTATTAATAGATTATCAGGGAAACATAAGTAAAAGACAATAGTTGTCTGAAGTCTCATCCTTTGTGGGTTATCCTGTATCAATTTTAGTGCGTTTTGACGATGGTAAAATCTTTCTCTTCGTTCTTCTAAATCTTCAACTTGAGAAGTTTTAAATAAAATCACCTGTCGGCGTATCTCAAGGTTGACAAGGTTTCATCGTAGTTAATATCCGCCGGAGATATCGCTGCAACCATCGTCGTCTTGGAGTTCCCTCCCAGGTTCTCCCTCAGTAACCAGGTCAGTACGGAGTCACGGTATGGGATAAATTCTCCTTTCTTCTTCTTCTGGTTGTTTGTCCTCGTTCCAGCTCCGGCCTGAGAAAATGTATTAAAATATCCTATACAAGATACTACAGTGAATTCCAGATATATAAATAAACTCATTTTTCCGCGGCATTTTATCTTAAATATGTAAAACGACATTATAAAAAACTCTTGCTATGTATTCATATATCTGGGATTCACTGTAAGTAACTATATATTTATAGAGTGGCATGTCAGATCCACAATGGTATCCTTTTAAGTTTTGCCGTTTCAAGAATGCATGATATACCATCATTTTCTCTTTAAAGTTTAATTATTTTCAGTTTTTTGTTTCTCTTAAAGTGATTTCCGCATTTCTGCTTTATAAACAATTGAGAAAATTGTCACACTTTACAAGAAAGAAAATCCACATTATTCAACATTTAAAAGTTTAAAGGTTGTGAATTGTGCATGCTCCTCTTCAATTGATATTCCAGCGACAGTTCCTTAAAAAATATATGTTCTATTATTTAGTTTATAAAAATGACTCACAGATTGCTCCGCTAGGGCAGATATAACCTTGCCCAAGGTTGTCAAACTCTTGTTAATGTTTGCTCCTTCCTTGAGCCGAGTTCCTTTTGCTCCGGTGGATTCAGCTCTCTCCGACCCTGCTAGATCTACCAGAGATATCTTGCTAACCTTCTCCGCAGTCAACCCACTGTCAGTATCATGCTTGTGCTGGGTGAATATGATCGTGAAGACAGCGTGAGATCTGCTGCTGCTCTCGTTCATGTTCGTCGCCGCCACCGTCCTCGCCTTGTTCCCCTCGTCCATCAGGTCGTGGATGTCGGCGTAACTCGCCACCGCCAGTTTACTCAGGTCCTCCACATAGGGTCCGAGAAGAGGGTGCTCGCGAACACGGAGGTTTCCCTTTGCATTCGGGTTCAGGAGATCTCGTACACGTTCACAGTATATCTCCATATAGCTTACCTTAACAGTATAATTTAACAGGAGACAAAAGTATTTAAACTATGTATGGCTAGTTAAACTACTTCTCCAATCTGGCTGTGAGTGCATATGAAAATAAGTTCAATTAGCCGTACTACTACCAACTACAGTGAAACCCTTAATAACGAATACATCGGAAAAATTTATCAAATGTCGTCTTGAAAATCTTTCAATGAGTTTTATACTATATTTCGTAAATTTCAGTATTTGTGAAAATAAATTAATAGCCATGAATACACGGGAACAATTTTAGAAGGTCCATATAATCATTTAAATAAAAAACTAAATATCTGCAACATTCCATTTTAGAAAGTGAAGAATACGACATTTGATGAATTCTTTCGATGTATTCGTTATTAAGGGTTTCACTGTATGATGTATGATATTCTATACAGGTTTTTGACGTACTAAGCTCTCAATTATTTAGGATTTCTAACTGTATTCGGAAAACTTATAACTTTTAAACTCCATTAGGTTTGGTTCAATATAATTTTGAAAAGCTGTCCAGCCTCAAATATTAAATTCAAAATGTTCTATGGTTGCTAAGATTACATATCTCAAACTATGCATTTTCTATATCAAAAGTTGGGCAAACTTTGAATTATCAAAAGTTTACACCATCAGGATGTAAAGAAATAGGGATTAAAAAACCAAAGTTTGTGGAGTGTCATCCGTTCCCCTCTTATCTACATATAAATTTAGCTTGTCTGTTTGTTTGTTTGTATCCAATAAACGTTAAAACGGCTGAACCGATCAGGCCCAAATTTTGTGGGGGACCTCACGTTGCCCCAGGGAAGGTTTCTGAATGACCAAAAGTTCAATAATTTGTCTTCATCAAAATTCGATTTTCCAAAAAAATTTAAAAATCCACGAAATTTTTGTTAAAATCCGCGAACTTTTTTGTTTTGCTTTAGCTGTACACAAAAAGAACATGTTCACAATTAAAATAGAAGATGGACGCGAAGCGCCCTAAAAGGCTAGTTGTAAATAAATAGTTTATAATACCTCTACAGAGTACTGAGAGTCTGGACTGTTATCTTCATCAATCTTGACAAAAAGATCTTTACAAAGACGAGGAATTATTCCTTCAGTTTCCTTTTCTCCAGCTTTACCCATCATAGTGTAGCTCTTCCCTGCTCCTGTCTGCCCATACGCGAATATACACACGTTGTAACCTGTAATTATACAGGGGTCGTCGTCTATATCAATACAATGAAGACGACTTTATGAATCAGAATTAATCTCTGACAAACTTCCCTATTATAGTAGAGAGAGACACATAGACTTGTAAATGGAACAATTTGGAATGTTCTGAACTGTTAAGTTTCATTTAATGCTGTAAAGGGTTTAAACCCTGAAAACATCCTAAATATTAATCAAAGCTTGAATAAAAAGTCGTCCTCATTGTATTGATAAAATCGCCAACCACTGTAGCAAAATATTCATTCAAACAAAAGATAGGTTTCTGAATGAGGATAAATTATAGATCTTCTCTGCACTTAAGGATAAACTGTAGTTGGTTAGGGGAAAGGTTGGATTAGGTAAAGATTAATGGAGTAAGGATAAACTGTAGTTGGTTAGGTGAAAGGTTGGATTAGGTAAAGATTAATGGAGTAAGGATAAACTGTAGTTGGTTAGGGGAAAGGTTGGATTAGGTAAAGATTAATGGAGTAAGGATAAATATAGAAATTGAAGATGGGTAAAGCTAAGTAATGTTTGGGTTAAGATAAATTTGTTGAGAATTAGCTGAACATGGTAAAATTGGTAATGGCCTTAACAGTTTTAAAAATGTTAAATAATGTTAAAGTATGAATTAAATAATTTGTGGGATCTGGTAGGATCAAAATAGGTCTGGTAGGATCAAAATAGGTCTGGTAGGATCAAAATAGGTCTGGTAGGATTACATTAGGTGTGATAGGATTACAGTGGGTCTTATAGGATTTCAATAGGTTTGGTAGGATTACAATAAGTCCGGTAGGATTACAATAGGTCTGGTAGGATCAAAATAGGTCTGGTAGGATTACATTAGGTGTGATAGGATTACAGTGGGTCTTATAGGATTTCAATAGGTCTGGTAGGATTACGATAGGTGTGGTAGGATTACAATAGATCTGGTAGGATTACAATACGTGTGATAAGATTACAGTGGGTCTTATAGAATTTCAGTAGGTCTGGTAGGATTACAATTGGTGTGGTAGAATTACAATTGGTCTGGTAGGATTATAGTAGATCTGGTAAGATCTGGCAGGATCTGGTTTGATCTGGTAGGATCTGGTTGGATCTGGTAGGATCAGGTTCAGGTAGGATCTGGTAGGATCTGTTAAGATCTATAAGTAGGGTCTGGTAGGATTTGGCAGGATATGGTTGGATCTTGTAGGATCTGGTAGGATCTCNAAAGGTTGGATTAGGTAAAGATTAATGGAGTAAGGATAAACTGTAGTTGGTTAGGGGAAAGGTTGGATTAGGTAAAGATTAATGGAGTAAGGATAAATATAGAAATTGAAGATGGGTAAAGCTAAGTAATGTTTGGGTTAAGATAAATTTGTTGAGAATTAGCTGAACATGGTAAAATTGGTAAAATTGGTAATGGCGTAAACAGTTTTAAAAGTAGGATCTGGTTGGATCTGGTAGGATCTGGTAGGATCTGGTAGGATCTGGTAGGATTTGGTAGGACCTAGTAGGATCAGATAGGATCTGTTATCATCTGGTAGGATATAGTAGGGTCTGGTTGGATCTGGTAGGATCTGGTAGGATCTGGTAGAATTTGGTAGGACCTAGTAGGATCAGATAGGATCTGTTAAGATCTGGTAGGATATAGTAGGGTCTGGTTGGATCTGCTAGGATCTGATTACCTTGAAAAGCATGCTGGAGCATTTCCTCTCCTAGCTCCATGTAAACCACGTCTTGTCCATGAAAAACCGGATCATCCGGCTACAAAACATATTTTGTTTTCATCATTGTTAATTATAATCAAATATATAAATCTACTTACATTATGGGATAAGTATGAGTAGTCGAAGTTAAAACTCTTGATTGCCTCTTTAGAGTTCGCTGGGACTTTCGGATTGGTGATTCCTGAATAATAAATAAACCTGGAGAAAGAGTCAGGTCAATTTAAACCCGGAGAAAAATATCTCCAATATTTAAAACATGAAGTTTAAAACTAAAATGATTCAGCTTTTGGAAAACAATTCTTTTTTTTTGAAATAATTAAATCGTATTTTTAATTTTGTAATAATCACGTAGGGTTGGAATCATTGTTAGTTTTGAGAAAATCTTACTTGTTGTTGAACCTTCCATCTCAATGATGCATTGAGCATCCCGAGCGTTCTCACGGGAGTTGAAGGGACGAACCCGGACTGCAACCTTTACACTGGACATCCTGAAATATGTATTCTTTCAGAAAATCTTTCATTCTTTTATCTTTTATCCTTTCATTCTTCCATAACTATCATCCTTTCATACATACTTTCATTTATCACCCATCCTTTTATGAATTTTCCATCCTTAAATTCAGTCTTATCCTTTCAATTCATCTTTTATCCTTTCATTCATGTCTTATCCTTTCATTCATCTTTTATACATTTTTCATATACGTTTGGAACCTGATTCAATAGGAAAAGTTAAAATGTCAAAGATTTACACCATCATGTGGCAAAGATATAATATCAGAAAATTAGCGTTTGTGGCAAGTCTTTGGTTTCGTTAGAGTTAAATAACAATTTATCAGGAAAATTAATCCGTCCCACATTACAAACATTTAATTGTATTACATACATTTATGATATAAAAATTTGGTCGAATTTTGTTTTAGAAATCGAAATCTCTATTAGTTCGCGTAGCCTTTCTCAAACGTCTTGTAACAGTTCAACCTTGTACTGGAATATATGGTTCTAAACCGTGCTCTTGTACTGGAATATATGGTTCTAAACCGTGCTATACAGTTCAACCTTTTACTGGAATATATGGTTCTAAACCGTGCTATACAGTTCAACCTTGTACTGAAATATATGCTTCTAAACCGTGCTATGCCCTGTTCAACCTTGTACTGGAATATATGGTTCTAAACTGTGCTATACAGTTCAACCTTGTACTGGAATATGTGGTTCTAAACTGTGCTATACAGTTCAATCTTGTACTAAAATATATGGTTCTAAACTGTGTTATACAGTTCAACCTTGTACTGGAATATGTGGTTCTAAACTGTGTTATACAGTTCAACCTTGTACTGGAATATGTGGTTCTAAAATGTGCTATACAGTTCAACCTTGTACTGGAATATATGGTTCTAAACTGTGCTTTACCCTGTTTACAGCATATTTGTCTATACTCTTATAATTAGTAGTAACTCCGTCATTTATCTATATAAGTAGTAATCTCTGTTTGTCTGCTTGTTTATTTGTATGTCCGCTTATAACTTGCGATCATGATTTTTAACGATTATCGTTTTTGCGCAAATATTTTATTTCAAAAGACACTTAAGATTTTAGAATAAAAAATTGTAAAAAGGACAGAGCAAAGACGACAATGATTCCGTTTTATTTTTGCTATTTCTCTACTCGACGTCCTTATTTATACATTTTCATACAACCGGCTTATGCTTTCTGTATGTGCTATTCGTCTTATTCTTCCTATTCTTCTTATTCTTCCTATTCGTCCTAGCTGTTTATTAAGTCCAGAACTGTTTTTCGATCTTCGTCCTAATATATGTTTACACACCCGGCCAATCCGACCTATTCGTTCTATTCATCCTATTCGTTCTATTCATCCTATTTGTTCTATTCATCCTATTCTTTCTATTCATCCTATTCGTTCTATTCATCCTATTCGTTCTATTCATCCTATTTGTTCTATTCATCCTATTTGTTCTATTCATCCTATTCTTTCTATTCATCCTATTTTTTCTATTAATCCTATTTGTTCTATTTGTTCTATTCATCCTATTCGTTCTATTAATCCTATTCGTTCTATTCATCCTATTCGCCCTTTTCGACTCCTATTAGTCCAATTCGTCCATTTCGTCCTATTCGTCCTATTTGTCCTCTTCGTCCTATTCGTCCTAGCTATTTAGTTAGTACAGAACTGTTTTCCTATCCCCGTCCTCAGAAATGAACACATAAACATATCGATCTCTAACTATATATACTATATATATATTTACTGTCCGAATCCGTCCACTCAGCTGATCAAATTTAGATCTACATGACATTTAAACCTTCTCAACTCTTATTTATGTTTGTGACTTTTTATATTAAACTTAAACCATTTATACACAAATATATCATATATATCTACTCTTATATCTAAGAAATTATCGAAACATCGAGAAAAAATGTTATTTATTACACCTTTTTTTCAAAGATATTATGAATTTCTATTTGGTTTAGAAGCTTTTCGGGACTACTGGAATATTTAAACCTTTTTAGAACTATATTTTACCCTGTTTCTCTGTATAATTCTTAACGTATTTATGTTTATTGCATCATTCTTTTCAGATGCGTTTATCCTTTGTACTTTATATTTGCCTCCGCCCTTGGTTCAGCTGATCCCTATTTAGGACTATAGGATCGGATAATCATAAAACCCTCCTCTCTCAAACCAAACCTGATACTACAGTTTTTCAATAGAATACAATTAATGACTCATCTGAAATCGATCTTTTCCCTTCTTAAAATACTTTTACTAAACAGTTTTCAAAAATTAATCTCACCTTTTTCTTTCTTTTCCAAAAGAGGTTCAATAGGTCTAGCTCAGAGTGAAAACATTACTAGATCTGAAACCTTGTTATATCATATGGAAACTGCGGGTTCTACGCTACTCTAAAGGGTACTTGGAGATTCAACCGAAGATAAAACACACAAATACGACTCAACTCTGAGGAACCTGAAGAATATAACTTTATGTAAATTGATTAAGTCCTAGGTCTATACTACAACGTATTGCAGGAGTAAGGTTGAGTAAGGTATGCCTAGTTGTTAGTATGGTGGGGGGTGTGGTATCAACTGATGTAAAGAGGAAAGGACCAATATAGAAAGTCTCCGGAAAGTCGGAGGAAGGATGAACCAGAGACTGACGTCACCTGACCTTGCACCAGACTTTAATTCATTCCAGAGATATTATAGAATCTGAAACCAACCCCTGAATTGCATTTGAAAAATATTGAATTACAATTTACAACTTATGTTTATAGAGTAGATTTATGTAAATGTAGGGGTAAATAACGTTAGGCATTCTATGAAACATGGAATTGAGGAAAATATTGCAATAATGCGGAAAAATTGGCAATAATGCGGAAAAAACGGCAATAATCCGGAATATATGGCAATATTGCGGAAATAGTTAGATACATCATACATGTAGATGTGCGACGAATACTAAAAATGTCAAATAAACTTATAAACACTAAAAATTTACACAATTTTTGGTTTCAGGCGCCCAATTAAACATACAAACCCAAGTTGATTAGATCTTTAAAGGTTATACACGTCTGAATTGATTAAGGTCAAATGTTTGTGGTAACTATAGGAAGGGAGAAATTAAGGTTAGGTTACAGTTTTGAGATAAATTAATTGTGACTGAGGTTGCTCTGGGAAAGNGATGGAACTAAGCTTAACTCGATATCCCATTCCAATCCCTATAAACAAGGAAGAAATTTAATTTCAGGGAAATCACACAAGAGTTAGAAAAGCAAACTTGTTTAAATGATTGTTTATAGAATTTAATTTTCTTTTATTATTGAATCAAAATTTAGATCCGTCCCAATACGGAGTTCTGATTGGTTGAGGTTGAATATATCCTGGAGTATTATTATTGTTAATTTTGAACATTCGCGAAAAACATTGTAGATTTAAACCCGGATGGGGGAGCGACTGAACGCTTGAAAGAGATTAGCTCTGTATAAAAGTTTTCGTCTCGATCCTTTAGTTCCAGATAGTTGCATCGGATTCTAGGTTTATTGTTAACATGAGTTTAGTTTTATCCTGGAGAACGAAGCTTTTTTTTTGTTTTTTTTTGAAGATTTGATTTTCTATAAGTTTCATAATTGTTTTTAACATTTTTTCACAATTTCTTTGTTTTTTAGTTTTAAAATCTCATGATTGCATTTTTAATAGTTTCATTGTTTTATAGTTCCGTAATCTCACGGTTCCAATTTCGATAGTTTCATTGTTTTATAGTTTCGTAATCTCATGGTTCCAGTTTTGATAGTTTCATTGTTTTAAAGTTTCATAGTCTCATGGTTGCAGTTTTGATAGTTTCATTGTTTTAAAGTTTCATAATCTCATGGTTGCAGTTTTGATAGTTTCATTGTTTTATAGTTTCATAATCTCATGATTTCAGTTTTTATAGTTTCATTGTTTTATAGTTTCGTAATTTCATGGTTGCAGTTTTGATAGTTTCATTGTTTTATAGTTCCGTAATCTCACGGTTCTAATTTCGATAGTTTCATTGTTTTATAGTTTCTTAATCTCATGGTTCCAGTTTTGATAGTTTCATTGTTTTATAGTTTCATAATCTCATGGATGCAGCTTTGATAGTTTCACTGTTTTAAAATTTCATAATCTCATGGTTCCAGTTTTGATAGTTTCATTGTTTTATAGTTCCGTAATCTCACGGTTCTAATTTGATAGTTTCATTGTTTTATAGTTTCATAATATAATGGTTCCAGTTTTGATAGTTTCATTGTTTTTAGTTTAAAAATTTCATGGTTCCAATTTTTATAATTTCTTGGATCGATAGATTCGTAATCTCTTTTTTAAGTTTTATAAATTCGATCCTTGGCTTTATAGTTTCATAATCTACTGGTTTCATTTCTCACAGTTTCGTGGTTTCATTGTTTCATAAACGTATGTTTCATGTTTTAATATGTTTCATAATCTACTGGTTTCATTTTCACAGTTTCGTGGTTTCATTATTACATAAACGTATGTTTCATGTTTTAATAGTTTCATAAAATACTGGTTTCATTTCTCACAGTTTCATGGTTTCATTGTTTCATAAACTTATGTTTCATGTTTCAATGGTTTCATAATTTTCTGGTTCCAGATTTCACAATTTCGTGGTTTCATAGTTTTAAAATTTTATTGTTTCAGTTTTCATAGTTTCGTGTGTTTCTAGTTTTAAAATGTTATGGTTTCAGTTTTCATAGTTTCGTGTGTTTTTAGTTTCATAATCTCATGGTTCATGTTTAAACAGTTTAACGGTATTTTAGTTCCGTAATCCTGAATCAAGAGAAAAATTGTTCAGGTTTTACTAATAATAAAGTTCTGTTCTACACATATTATGACAAGATATATCAGAGTGTATGTTTACAAAAATTTAGTTATATAAAAAGTGAAATTCTATTTCTTTCCTTACAGGTTTGTTTAAATAAATTATAAACCTTGAGTCCACACCTTCAGAATTCTTAATCAAATACCCGCCAGGCAAAATTTAATTCATTTCTTAATTTGTTTGATAAACTCGTAGCCCACGCTTCCAGCGCAATAATAGATAATTGAGAATGAATTCTAAAAAAAACTTGACATAGTGAGATTTTATAGAAATCTATATAATAAAACAAGATATTCGTATATATATGTGTTGCCTATAGTCGGCAAAACGGCTGGACCGAATGGGCGGAAATTTTTTGTGGACACTCATGGGTGGCCGGGGGATGTTATAGGCTAAAGAAATGATTTTTTTTCAAATTTTATTTTTTTTCGTAAATTTTTTTTCCACGGGCAACGCCGGGCCCTTAAGCTAGTACTTAATATTTAAACAATTAAATACAGAAAGTTCTTTAAAGGGAATGTAAGCATGAGCCTCAAAAAGGGCTGATTCAAAACGGTTTTTTAACAGCTTTGTCTGATCAAGTGTGAATTATAAATCAATGTTTATAATTTGGAAAACTAATTATTTTTTACTTTGCTTTCTCTAAAAAAGTTACTTGCGCATTTCTACTTCAAGAAAACATATAGGAAGTATAAGAATTAAACCTTTTGCAACCTGAAAAAGCCTAGAAAAACGATTAAATACAGTTTTTCAGCCAACCATAGAATTTACAGTGATCGAAAGATTGCGAGCTCTCACACAAAAATTGCTCGATTTCTTCTTAAACCCAATAGCTAAAAAAAATGCTTTATTCTAAATGTACAGGTTTAGAGCTGCAAAACAAGTATATGGGAGTTATTGAGGTAAATCAAATGCCAAGGCGTGGTGAAACTTCAAAGTCAACTCAGTATTGAAAATTGACGCAACTTTTCAAATCTGTCTGGATCTACGTGAATTAGGCTTCAAGCTTTGATATGTGTAGACAGGGTACTCAGGATTGGAGGCTTGGATGATGAGTGAACTACGGGTAGTCCCAATAAACAAGAAATAACAAAATCCCAATTATTTATTTCTTGTAAATAACAGACATCAGAGAGGAACACCTTTGTATCTTTACAGGGACTGTACGGGAAATTTCAAGTGACCCTACATGTAAAGTTGATTCACAACGGTAACCTTATACCTTTATTTGATCAACAATGTGTTATATGATTTATACTCGATTAGAGAATGCTTTTAATGGTACCGTTATTAATCGGACATTGCTTATATCCTTCAATTTAAAAGTGTACAGTGTGGATATCGAGTTCAGTCGGTGAAGATTAGAGTGATCCCAACCAAAAATTTCAGATTGTCTTTAAAATATTCTCAAATAATGAGGCATGTACAATTTGAATGTTCCTTATTAATTATTAATTAACTTCAATTTCAAAAAGAATCATAATTTTCTTCTTCTCAGTACAATCATTATTTTTTATAATCTTTTTTAGTTTATTTTTTTTTGGAGCTAACTGTACTCTCTCTGATTAGATCTTAATTAGTTTAGCTCCGGGTGTATGTGAGAGGTGGGGCACTGCATAATTACATTTTTCACAAAAACTAAAAAACTAGATAATTTGGGTTTGAAGTGTTTGATTACTATTTTGTTTAATACAAATGGAAGTACAGTGATAACCAGAAAACTTTAGATTAGGAAGACGACTTTTAGACTCAATTTATGACTGTAAATTGTCCAATGAAGTGGGAAACAGCAAGTATGCAGTGTAAACAGACCAAATTCACTTAATTAGTATTGCTATAAAGTCGTCTTCCTATTTCAGAGTTTTCTGGTTATCACTGTATAGGATCTATGCATATTTTTGTATATTTGTACTGCACGATAAAAATTAAGAAAATTTACAATGCATGAAATTGCGAAGCAAAATTAGTAAGCTTGAAATTAATTTTCAAAAAAAATCTTTTTATAATTTTCCGTAATTATTTGTAAAAAAAAATTCTATCTTCTGATAAAAATTCAAACTGGTTTTAATCTTTTAATGGATATTTCATTGTTATCTCTGAGTTTTCCATTTTGAAATTGAAAAGTGTGTTTGTAAAGGGATAGAGGGATCAAAAAGTAAGGGTGGTTGGGTTGATAGGAGGTTTAAATTTCGAAAAAGTGATGGGCAAAATCTTCGAGATTTTTTAGTTAGAACTTTTATGTTTTAGTTCGTAGCGGACGGAGACGGAGATTCAGAGAGAAAGAGAGAGATTATCAAGAGCAGTATTTCTCTCTTGGAGATAAATTAGATCATATTTCCTATAATTAAAATGAGAGAGAACCCCCTCGCTCTATATCAGAGAGAATATGATTGTTAAAGAGTAAAATCTTGTTGTTAGAGAGAGAGGGCGGATGGATGAGAGCTAGAGAGCTAGAGAGGGAGAGAGGGACGGACGAAGTATTGTATCCAAGTGTAGTTTCATGTTTAGTGCTGAAGGGTACGGAGCTAGAGAGTGTTTATGATATAATGCAGTGAGAACAGGGATTAACTCTAAAATGAGAATTTATATGAAATAAAAACTACCCTGCTATTATAGGTGAACAAATTCTTTAGATAATGATTTAAAAGTACTTTTTAATTGATCTATGATGTTCAAAAATCTTCTTAAAGGGACTGTAAACAGAAAATTAAATAACCCTCCATGCAAATAATACCTTAACAGCTTTCTCCGATCGAGCATTAATTAGAAATTAATAATTCAAAAAATTATAATTTTGAATTGCTATGTGCATGTTATCATTGGAAGAAGGGGAGGGTCAATTGAAATTAAGCTCACCTTATAATCAAAGAGAATAGAATATATATTAGAGGGGAATTTAGACAATCCCTCGGTATGAATTTTGTTACTCCCTTTCACCTTGAAAGGGAGTTCAAAGTGTACAAATCATGTAAATGTTCACAAATTATATACAGTAGAGTACATGAATACAGTATGTTCCCTAGACTTTTCATTTTAACTTAAAATTTTTTAAAGCTGTTAAATAAACTTTATAAAATGAATTAGGTGAATAAAAAACATCATTTGATTTATAGTTATAATGGAAAATCATCGTTTGTAAAGTGGAAGGCATAAAGTCTATGTGAAATGATCATTGGTCAATTATGAAACCAGCCTATTTCATAATTTGGTTTTCTTTTAATATTAATTTTAGATTTTCTATAAAATGATATTCCAAGGCCCAAAAGGTTATATAGCACAAATATGTGAAGTATACCTGCAGTATGGAAACAGTACAACAAAATGGCCGTTTTACACTTTTTTCTAGTAAATTTCACTCTAATATATATTCTATTCTCTTTGTTTATAATGCATTGCACACCTGTAATATTTTAAACTTTTGTTATTTGATTTAACAGATTTTTTATTTAAAGTAATTGAGTTTTTGCCACAAACTCTGATTTTATAATCACTATATCTTTGCAACCAAATGTTGCAGACCTTAGATATTTCAAACTATGAATTTTGTTAGATCAAATAATCTGAGTTTGAAATATCAAAGGTTTACAACATCGGGTTCTAAAGATATTGAGGTTTAAATATTTGATTTTGTTCCAAAGACTCAATTCCTTTTATCTGATTTTTTTACTATTTATGTGTGGCATCAATATATTTATTTTATAAAAAGATCAACAAAATATGTTATATACATCAAAAACCTAGTGTTATATACATAATTGTTATGTATTTCTATTTATCTATGTGTAAGAAATCTATTTTTATCAGCATATGTTCATTTATATGAAGAATGAAGACATATTGCAATAACAATTGATGTTTTATGAACATGTAGAATTCATCTTTATTTTGTACTAGCTTGGGAATCCAGTTTTTCCTAGAAATACAGTCAAGGTGTTTATTAGCTATGATAGGACTTACAAACACCTCAACATACAGAGATTACTACTTTTTACATACATATATATTGTAAAACATTGCTTTTAACGTTTAAATGATAAATTCTATTTTTAAAACTTTTAAAACTCTCACCAACACAAAATTTACATAGGTGTACTGTAGTTCTTTTGTGTAGTTTAGTACACTATGTAACATACTAATTGTATTACTGTACTCCGTGTTCTGTACTCAGTGTATTGTGATAAATGTAGTTTGCTCACGGCGACCAAAGTAAAAATTTGAGTTTTTTAGTGGTATACTTAAAATAACTGTGTCTGCTATAAAAAAGAAACAACAAGAAAAAAATAAGAAAGAGAATAAAAAACATTGAAATGATTTAACCCCAGTTGCAAGGTTGAAAAACATGAAATTTTTCTTCCATGAATTTCATTGATTAAATAATATCACGGTCACAAAACTGCAGAACTGCAATTCTTCAATCCTAAAGGAAAATCCATGGTTTCACAAACAGAAATTGATTCAGATTATCAGACATGTTTTTTGTGGGGGGGGGGGTTGAATTCTTTTCTTATAATAGAATTTCATTGCCGTAAATATCTGACTAATAAGGACGAAAATTACGGCCATTTTTATAAATCCTACTTTTTAGTTCTTCTTCAAATCTTTATTTAACCTATAGTAACCATCATTAATGAGATATCCTTAATCACAACCGCTTAGTTAATCTAGAGTTTCATAACAAGAGGAGAACAAGCGTAATTTAATCTCGAGATTAAAAATAAGAGTCGATTATAAATTAATCCCGATATCCACCATTCAAAAGTTCCCAGCTCTGATCACAAAAGTATAGATTAACTTTAAAGTTGTTAGTTATGGGTACAATATGACTCAAAGAGAGATTAACCCCAAAATAAAGTTATGCCCATAGAACAA